GTATATGAGTCCTACTTCGGCCTAATGGACTGGTTCTACCTCGGTTCATCAAAAGGTTTGTTAGCTCGGTTTGAGCAGGTTAGACCGGTTCATCGTCTGGGGACAGCTTTTTGAGTTCGGTCTAAAAAAATGAGAAAGCTGGCTTAGCCCCGAAGACTTAATTCGGTTAAGCTATGTGTTTTGATACTTCGGTTGAGCCTCTAGGGGCAGCTTTCTAAGTTTGGTATAAAACTAAGAAAGCTGGCTTAGCCCCAAAGGCTTAGCTCGGTTGAAGACTGAAGTTCCTAGTTTAATGTATTCTAACTTTGTTCGGTGATCTTATTTCGGCTAGGATGAAACAGAATATTTTTTAAAGCTGCTGTCATCTCTACAAGTTCTAGTTCGGTTACTGTCTAAGGTGATCTACCTATATAGGACAAACAGTATCCTAGTTCGGTTGCTATATCATTTTGGATCCAAGACTAGTTTTCTACAGGATAATCCATACACGCATGAGTTCTACTGGTTTTCTCATGAAAGTACAGAAGCAAAAACAAAAATGTATAAATATGTTTCGCAAAAACATAGAAAGTGGGATACAAAAGCAAAACAGAGGGAGAGAATGGATTGGCTTACCAGTTTGAAGAAGAGGGAACTGGAGATGGAGCAGTTGCAGCAATGAGAAGCAGGGGCTTGGAAGTGAAGAAATAGAGGCACAGAGAGAGAAGACGAAGGATAGAAGAATAAGTGATTCAAAAGTGAAAGGGTAGGGTTGTTTTGTGAAAAGGACGAAAGGAGAAAAGGCAGGACTGTTCAAAAATTTCGTAGTACGAGGGCGGCGTGACAGCTGCCCTAGCCTATAAGAGCCCACCACGTGTCATTGGAAAGGGAAGCGTTACAGTCGTGATTGAAGAGACGTTTTGACTGGACAAAACAGAGCCCGGAGTAAAATTAGCTCGGCTGGATACGCTAAAGGGTTTTTAGCTCGGCTGGAAAGGCTTGAAGAACTTCAGCTCGGTTGGAAGACTTGTAATCCCAATCATGCTGTGCAGATGGAATTAAGGGGCAATTGAGAGGGTAATTTTTGGGAAAAATTGGGCCGAGCTGTGAATTGGGCTTTGTGGCCCAAAGTACGAACGACTGAGTAAAAAGGCCGTAATGATTACTCCGGCCCAATAGAAATAGTTACTCCGGCCCAAGAAAGACAAAGTTACTTCGGCTGAAGAATAGTAAAGCTACTTTAGTCCGGGCAAGTTGGAGCTACGCCGGTCTCAGAGTTAGTCCGGTCGTGATGTATCTTGAATAGGTCGGTCTAGCGGTATTTTTGAGTTAGACCAACCTAAGGAGTAATACCGGTCGCGATTTGTTAAGTTTGGTCCAGCTGTGCTATGGGTTGAGCAGAGAACCGAGATGAGGAGTAAAAGCAGAACCGAACTAAGAATAGTTCGGCCTACTCAGTGGCTCTGCATTGCCAAGCTTATTTCGGTCATATCGTAGTTCGGCCAAAGTAAAAACCATCCCACTTGGTTTAAGCAGTGGGGGGTGTAAAAGGATAAGCATTATCCTTAGGAGTATGAATCCTAGGAGGACTCTGCATGGAGAAATAAAAGTCCTACTAGGATTGTACCATTCGAAACTTATAAAAGCTCACAAACATCACCTTGGTGGAGGTAACATAATTTTGCTTTCTGAAAACATAGAGCTTTGTCTATTTGTCAAGTTTACTGACTTAGGCATCGGAGAGGTTTCCGGCACACACCCGCCGGCTAGCTCACGTTGGTGTTTTCAAGTGATAAAGCGACGTCGTACGGAGGAGCGTGGACTTGGTCAACAGGATTATACGAGAAGGTGTATTTCGTTCCCGTACATGAAATATATATATTTACTTAATTTTATATATATATTATTTAAAATTTCCCATCAAATTCATAAACCAAACATAAGAGTTTATTTGAAAATATATTATTTTAATAATTTTTTGATATTTCCAAACAGATGTGAAGAAAAACATAGAGATGAGACTAATGGCTAGGGATCACCTGTCCCTTTGTTTATATTCTGCCACATCATCAGTTGTAAAAGTAAATCTCTGCACTTGCACCACAGGATAAGCACTTGCCATGGAAAATCACCTAAACCTAGGCTTCGAAAGTTATCGCCACTCTTGGTCCACTGACGGCGTGGATTTGGTAAACATGGTTGGCTCTCTTTGATGTGCAAGGACCTGTGCAATATTTAGAACAAAATATTTAATATTGCGTGCTACCGAAATGCTCTTTTGCTCATGAAACTCATATTTTTCTAGTTTAGTCTCTTTTTTTTTTTCTTTTTCTTTTTTCTTTCCTTTTGCCAGATCTTCAGAGTCTATAGAAAGAGATGATTTAGTCTCCATGAAATCAATAGAACAATGTGATGATTTTTAGTGGAAGAGAAATTGAATTGAACCTTTGTGATGGTGATAAAAAATCATACTGGAGGGTACTGATAGACTTGTGGGGGTTCGTCACAGATTTCATTTTGATAATTTGAATCGTTCAATATGTAGAATTCAGCAAGTACTATATGCCTGTAAAAAATCATGTTGATCGGATATTGATACTTACATGATCAAATTAGTTTTGTATTTAAAAAAATGGACAGTAAAAAAATAAACGGTTGATAAAAATCTGATCCGATAATATAACTATCAATATCCGACCAACGTGATTTTTTATAGGCATACAGTACTCGACGAGTTTTACATATTAAATGGTTCAGATTATTGAAACGAGACTCGTGGTGGGCTCTCACAGGTCCAACAGTACTCTCTAGTTCGATCCGAGACTGAAGGAAAGTTAGACCCTAAAAAAATAATGAAAAAATCTTATGGAATAATTCAATTCAGGTCTTTTTCTCATGTTTTTTCTAGAATCTATCATGCGCTGTGTTTGGTTGGAAAATTTGAAAAAGAATTTGGAAAAGAAAATGAAAAAGATCTGTGAAATTAGTTGAACTACAGGTATATTTTATTCATATTTTAACTATTTTTTTATTTTCTTTTTCAAATTCCTTCTCAAATCTCCTAACCAAGCACAGCGTAAAGGCCTTGTTTGGAAAGTGATTACTTTTTTAACTTTTTGGCTGTTTGGCTATTTTAGTAGGCTATTTTAATTTTTATGTTTGGAAAGTTGGGTTTTTTTTTTGGTTGATTGTTGTACTAAAAAATATGTTTGAAATGATGTTTGAGGCTGAAATGACAAATTTATCTCTAATCTCACTTTTTCAAAGTTGGTGTAAAAGGGCAAAATTGTCATTTAATTACCCGTGGGATAGTCTATCCAGTGACAGTGGTAGGCTGTTAGTGCACTGTCAAGTGACCGTGTAGATTGTCGACCTGTTTTTTTTTTTTTTTAATATAAATTATTGGTTTAGGCACCATTTGAAGTTATTTACCTTTTTTTTTTCTTTTTTTTTTTCAAGTATTTGAGGCTATTTTAGTGTTTGGCTTTCTTGGTGATGACTGGTTTCTGGTGTTCTGTATTGCTAATTACATAGATTTACTTTTACAATTGGTGATGTGGCAGCATATAAACAAAGGGACAGGGATTGGGACAGGAGATCCCTAGCCGAGATTAATGGGTTTCCGCTGGACTTCGGCAACATTGGACCACCTCCTTCCCATTTTGAACAGCCCGAGTTGACATGATAAAAATAATCATGCTGATAAGTTGTGATGAGGAAAAGTTGAATGTTAATTTTAAACAATAATTGAGACTTTTTTTTTTTTATTATTCTCACAATTTTTTATTTAATCTCAATCATTAACGGTATGAATCCCATATATACATGAGTGAGTTCCACACATACATCAATGATTGAGATCTAAAGAAAATTGTGACGATCTCTCATAAAAAGGGGTCCCAAATATTTTTCTTATTATTAACCACATTTAAATCCTAAAATCCATTTGTGGGTGGTCCCCAAATCATGAAATTCTAAAAAAATTATTCATCCACGTGAAAACTATCAATAAATTGGTTTGTATGTTTTTTTGGAGGGGGATTTATTTACACTTGTAGAGCAAATATGATTTAAAAATGTAAACATAAATACTAATTATGTTAGCGTGTTTAAAATTGAAGCTAAATGGCAACAAATAAGATAAATTTATTTTTTATTTTTCTTTCTCTTAATAAATTCAAGATCCAAACTGTGTGAGAAATATTCAACCACATTATTTACAGGTGGTGAGCATGAACTTTGGTCTGTCTAAAATTGCCAACAGCTATAAAAACAACGAGTGTTTGCCGGTTAGGGTGTTCAGCAAAAACACTCTGATACTTAAATTAGTAAGAACATCCATAGGCCCAGCCCAATGGCCTGCCCAACCTAGCCTTAGTTAGTTTGGGATGAGAAATTTTAGCCCAGTTTAGCCCACCCAATTTTTCTCTACCAAGATACGATATGTAGTTCTAAAAGGCCTCGTTTGGCATATACTAAAAAACTCAAAAAGTTAAAGAGTCACATCATCTTATTTAAGTCACATCACCTCTCTACCATATCACTTTAAATCCAATCAATACCCAATTCATATTTCATAAAAAGTCAAAAAGTACACTTAGGCCAAGTTTGGCAAGTTGCCAAAAAATCAAAAAGTCAAAAAGTTATTCAAAAAATTTAAAAGTTATCGCTATTCACCAAAAGTCAAAATTTACGGTTGCACAACTGTCAATTCTAATTTTCCCTTACACACTAATTTATACAATTTTTTAATACACATTTTTTCATAAAAAGTCAAAAAGTTAACCCAAACATCCATATTTTGTTTCTCAATTTTCTAGTCCAAAAAGACAAAAAATATACTTATTTAGGACACCCCAAAAAACCCCTATTTAGGCCTTGTTTGGGGTGTACTAATAAGTACACACTTTTTATCTTTTTTCTATCACATCACCTCTCTACTTTTCTGCACATCTTTTCATAAAAAGTCAAAAAATATATTTATTTAGATCATTCCAAATTACCCCTAGAACATCCCGAACTCAAAATGGCAACAATTTTATTTTATTCAAAAAAAATTCACATCTCAAATTGACGTTGTTTTGTTTTATTTTAAATCTAAACCGTTAAATAAAAAAAACTATGATAGCTAGATCGTAACAGAAAATCACAAAAGAAAATTTCGATTCTAAAACATATATGTACAGAGTATGTGTGCAAATTTGTGTTGGTGTGTTTCAAAAGGAAGCATTCAATCCAAACCAAACTGGTACTATCTTGATATCAATCTGACCAAGTAAGCATTTCAGGACCCTTCAATTTAACTACCAAAGCCCTATGCAAGAACTGCTCTCTAGCCAATTTTCTAACCTGCCCAATATAAATGTCAAAACTCACAACCCCTTGCTCAACAGCCTTGTCCAATGCATATATCAAGTCCTCCAAGGCCCTCTCTTTAGCCAAGCAATCAAGCACTGCCCTTGACTCCTCACCCACAGCTTCAAATTCATCTCCCATTTCATCCCAATTTTTGTCATGAACTCTCAACCAATTCATCAAAACATCAGCCTCCTCTGTCATCTCCATCACTCTCCTTTTCAAGTCTATCTTTTCATCCTCAAGCCCGATAATCATGCCTGTCGCGACATCAAATCTCTTCACCAGTTTGCCCTGGAGGGTCGATAACCTCTCTAATTCCTCCTCAGTCTCAGCGTTGAAAGCCACTGTGTCATAGACAAGGGAACACGAGAGCTTGTCCATAGCCTCCATTTTTAAAACATTGGAATTGTAGAAAGGATGGTTGTAGCTAAAGAGATTGACAAGGTTGTGGACAAGGTCTAAAAGGTTGGATCTTGGGTGGAGCCAATTTTGGAGATAAGGCAATGTGGTGAGACCAGAAGGATCAATGAAGGGGTGGTCTTGGTGAATTGGGTACATGGTGTTTGATGAGACGAGAACAATTGGGGCCATGTGAGGGTAGTTTTCATGGACCCAAATGGTTATAGGGACAACAGGTGTTGAGGGAGAGACTAAAAGGTCACCGGTGGCATTCAAAAGGTTGGCGTTGGTGCCATCGTTGTGAGTGAAAGTATCGGTGGAAGGGCGGAGAGAAGGGAAGTTTTGGAGAAGAGAAATGAAGTGTGATCGAATTAGCCATTTTTGGTCAGGGTCATAGTAGGAGAGAGCGAAAGGACCAGTGGAGAAGAGTGCAGAGTCGATGAATCTGATTGAAGATTGTAATGCCATATCTGCAGAATGGTGAAGATCTTTACCCTGTATTTAAATTTGCTGGATAGGCATTAATGAATTTAATAAGACTTTGGTTTTTAATACCCATTGAATAAGACTTTGAGAGGGTTGTTCAAGTCAATCTTTGGAAGTAAATTAACAAGAATAAACCAAGGATTGAAAGTGAACTCTTGTTAGAATTTGAACCCAAACCATGATTTTGTTATTGAGATGTAGAAAGTTGCAAGAGGTTGGTCTCAGGGCCTCTCAATATAAAAAGGAGGTCACCATTGTTGACTTCTCTGTCCTATTTATTTCTTAGCCGTGCTGATTAAATTACCCTTTCAGCAGAAAAATATTTTTCGTATTTTTGGGTCTTTTTTTTTTATAATTGAAATAGAAAGTGAGCAGAAATCATCGGAAAATATTCCACTTTTGAAAAGTATATGTATAATAAGTTTTGAAGACTAAAATTTTACTAATATCACCGTATTATCACCTCCACAGCGTGACACCACTAATCCAACTATTAGCATTAATTACAAATTGCTTTCTGTCAAAACAAACAAAAATTAGCCAAAAACTCAATTATGTGTAGTTGCTGTCGTTGTGGATACTGGTTTCATACGGAAATTACCCAGAGATTTGATTAGCGTGTAGATTAGAGCTGCAAATTTTGGACAATTTTCTGACCAATTCTTCGGAATAAGTAGCTGTATTTTTTAATAATAGATAATTCTTCGGTCTCTCTCACGTTGTAATTCATCATAATTTGATTTGTACTTTTTATAAACCAACTCTGATCAAGACTCGGTCCTTCAAAGGCTTGGTTTGGGAAGTAGGTTGGCTTTTTAGTTTTTTGGTTTTTTTAGCTATTTTAGCCTGGGCTAAAAAGCTTGGTTTGGGAAGGGCTTTTTGGCTTTTTGACTTTTTTTGTGAGAGAAGAATGTAATGATTATAGGTTGGATGTGATGTTTTGTTTGTTATGGCTAAAATAACCTATTTTGTTTTTTATGGCTAAAATAGCCAAAAAAGCCTGAAAACCATCTTGCCAAACAGAGGCAAAGTTGTGTAAGAAAGGAGGCACATAACAGTTTCAACAATGTTACAATCATTTTGTTTGGGAAACCGGTCGAACCAAACTCTTTGGGATGTTTTAAATAAGTGTACTTTTTGACTTTTTATAAAAAGATGTGTAAAAAAATAAAGAGGAAATGCTGATTGATGTGACCTAAAAATGATAAAAAGATAAAAAGATAGACTAAAATAGATTATGCCAAACAAGGCTTTAAAATTAAGACAAGCTTTAACCAAATCATTTAAACTGCAACAAATACAGCACCCTACACATAAGACTTAAAATTGGAAAGTTACGATGCATCCTCAAATTTTTCTCTCTTTTATTTATTTATTTATTTTCCTTCTAATTTTAATAATTTTTAAAAACAAAAACAAAAAATCAGAAGCAACGTTGTTTTCATTTCGTGTGAAATCAATTTATGTTTTCTTTTTATTCATTTTTTTAACATAAAACAGAAAATTAAATGATACCAAACAAGTAAGTCTATCACCACAAAAATTTCAGGATTTTCATAGCCACAATGTTTATTTTTAATTTCAACAGTACTAAATCCACACAATTTCTTCTCTCCAGGCTGTCCGAAATAAGATGGCAAGGCAGAATATATGTAAGAAGAATTTTGAGAGAATATTAGAATGTGATCAACTTTTCTTTTAATTTTTTGGTGTTCGCTCCAAATGAGAAGGCCAAAATTGATATACCTACATTAGGTATGAACTGTTTTTTTGGTTTTAATTTCTGAAATTGACAACAACAACAAAAAAAACCACACCAAAAATATATTTTAAAAATTATTTTCACTCTCAATAAAATAAAATTATATAAAAATGATAAGTGTTATATATTTATTTTTTAAATATTTTTCTAAAAACCAAAGCAGGCATAAGTCAACCCCGGTTGATTAGAATAGTTTCCAACTCAACTGTATAGGTGAGAGTATGTCAATGCATTCTAATTTTCAAACAATAAAATTATTTAAATAGGTGACCTACAACCCATAATTTTTTAATACCCAACCAACTATGGAATTTTTTTATTTTTTTTCTAGTGGACAAAGTTTTTTTTATTTTTTTTTAAAATCTGACCTCTTTCTCTAACTTTAATAATGAAAGAAGTTCAAAATAAATTTTTTAATTGCTGAAGATTTCTTGCCCATTTATGACCCACACTCATCTCTCTTTCTCTCTCTCAATCCATGCAGACTATGTCTAAACTTTTCCTGATCCTTTCTCTCTCTTACTCTTCCCTCTCTCCTCTTCAAACCCAAGTATTAGAGAGAGTCGGAGAAAAGCCACCATGGTCCACGTCTCCTTCCAACGAAATTGTAAGATTTACTGTTTCTTTGATTCATTCTACACATTGATCGATCCATAAATCTCCATATATACATACACCTTGTAATCTTTACTGTATCTTTGCTTTTGTTTCTTGATTTGTAACTTGTGTGTGAGACCATGAAATATCCTCTCACATGGATTGTTGGTGAAATTCAATAAAGATAGTTCCATGAACATGCAAGAGATAAATATGGTTGGTGCTAATCGGGATTACCGGCCGGAGACACTCCGATGATGAAGTTAGAATCCATGAATGAAGAGTATAGATAGTAAAGAATGTTGTCTGTGAAGTGCAGAGAGAAAATTATACCTATATGCTATGAGATGTCTTCCTTTTATAGACGGGGATGGGCTAAATAAGCTCAATAATTGGCCCCTTGACAGGCGTTCTTTGGATTAATCTAATAAATTAATATATATTTTTTCTGGCTCCCACATTGTGTTTGTTAAATTCTCAACTCGTGGCTTGATCCGCTAAACGTTTCAATGTAATGGCAAATTACGCCCTTTTGTCACTTTCTTTGTTTGCTGAGAGACCCAACTTTATAGATGACTAGGTGACAAGATTAACGAGATTGATTTTACTCAACTTAGGGGTTGTTTGGAATGACCTAAATAAATGTATTTTTTGTCTTTTTATAAAAAGATATGCAGAAAAGTAGAGAGATGATATGATGGAAAAAAGATAAAAAGATAAAAAATGTGTACTTATTTAGGATAGCCAAACTTGATCTTAGTGCATTAACTAAAACCCAAAATTTTTAGGACTTTAATTTTATTACAATCATTTTCTTTTGCTTGTCAACCAATTGTTTGGTTGCTAAGAAATAAGAGAAAAAGAAAGTAATCATGGGTATTTATGTTGCTTAGTTGAGTCGAAACATAATTTTTTCTAATTGAGTCAAAATATAATTATCTTTGGTTTAATCAAAACACAAAGAAAATTGTGAACAAATTAGAGAAAATTGATCAAAATATAAAAAAAAATTGTGAGCAAATCAGAAAAATTTCAAACCAAAGAAATTTCAAACCAGAGAAATTTCAAAACATAGAGAAATTCTCTATGTTTTGAAATTTCTCTGAATCAAAATTTTTCTATAAAAATATTGAGAGATCCCAATTAATATGAAAATATTACATATCCTTGATTTTATAAAATCTTAATACAGAAACCTTAAAAAAGAAGTTCTCTTTGTTTTTTTTTTTTTCCTTGTTTTTAGATGGGCTTGTGGTCAAAGCTAGCTAAGTTAATTTAGTACCAACCAAAAAAATAAGAAGGTTGATGAACAGCTTTGGAATGAAGCGTCATCAAAGATGTAAACCTGAAATACAAATGGAGATGGCTACAAGGGCAAAGCCCAAGCCCAAGGCTAAGAGTGAATAGTGAGCAATTTCTTCGTTACAATCAGTGTGTTTGGTCTAAATTTTTTGAATTAAATTTTTTGAAAATTAATTTTTTTAGTTTTCTTGTTTTTTTATATTTAGTAAATATTTTTTAAATTTTAAATATTTTTTTTACTTTTTTAAATGTACCTTACTTAGATGTGTCTAAAAAGTAAAGAATTTGTGAAAAAATATTTTAAAAAATTAATAAATACATAAAAATACAAAAAATGTACTAAATTCTTGTATTTTTTTTATATTTTTGATATTTAGTGAATTTTTAAAAGAGTTTTTTTATAATTTTTTTACTTTTTAGGTGTATTTATGTTAGGTGTGTCTAAAAAGTAAAAAAATTGCTTAAAACATTAAAAAAATTCAGTAAAAACAAAAAAAAAATGAAAAATAAGAAAGTAAAATTTTCTGAAAAGTATTTTTTAAAAAGTGAAAACAAGCAAGGTGAAATTTGATGATTTGATTTGTTTATTTTTAAAATTTATGTGAATATATTATTTATAAAAAACTAAAACAATAAAAGGCAAATTACTGACACAAAAATGTTTTAGAACTTTAAAATAAGAACTTTAATGGAGCTCTAAGGGTGGTGAATCTCATGTGATGTGATGTTTTGATCTTATTTTGTTTTGTTTTTTTATTGTTAAGTGTATAAAGCTTTGTTTAGAGCTTCATTTTTAGGAGGATTTAGGCTTGGTTTGGCATAACTTAAAAAAGTCACTATTCTATTTAAGTTACATCATCTTATTTAAGTCATATCACCTCTCTACCACATCACTTCAAACTCAATCCATACCCAATTCATATTTCATAAAAAGTAAAAAAGTGTACTTATTTAGTTTATCCCAAACAACCCCTTATTATTTCTTTTACTCACAAGTCTTTTTTAAAAAGTGTGTATTCTGTTTAATTCCAAAACTATTTTGATAGACCCAAAAGTCCTATACTCATTCATGTTCTTCTTTTTCCTTACACATTGCTTCTATATTTCTCTTTCTCTGATATGGGCGAGGACCACGACCCCGACCATGCCTTTATTTTTTTCTCTCTCTTTCTAATCTATCGTTACCGGCGACTAGCGACCACCATTAACGGGGGTTCACGGGCAACCACAGAGCACAGCGAAAGAGATGAGTTTTCGACGAAAAAGATAAGTAGATCTACTCAAATCTGATGTAGATCTACATCAGATCTGAGTAGATTTACGTTGGATCCGCCTTGATCTAAATAAAAAAATAGTTATCAAAGTACAAGCATCTTTCTATATCTGTCTCTTTAATTCGATCTCCCAGTTTTAATTTTTTTTTTCTACTATACACTTTTATTTTCCTGTAATAATGAAGAAAATTTTCAAATTCTAAACAAATTGTTTTCGAGTTTTAGTTACAAACAGTGAAAACTGTAAAATTTTACAGTTTCAAATTTTTTTTTTTTTTGTGTTGAATTGAATCATTCTTTAAAATTATAAAATTTTACAGTTTCATAACATGTTTTTCAATTTGATTAATAAGAATCAATACTTAATAGAATCATATTTTAAAACTGTAACATTTTACAGTTTCCAAGCTTGCTTTCAATTTGATTAATATTAGAAATTATTTGCTTAAACCCTACAAAAATTTAAAATAACATTTTTTTCCCCATTGTTGATGTTTGTTGTTCTTAGTTTTTTGTCTTCTTTCAGTTTATCAATATTTAGTATATTTTGTTATGTGTTTTTTACTTTAATTTCTCAGTTTATTCTTCTTCTTTTTTTTCGGCAATAGTCTAGACATTCTGGTGAGTTTCCAACGATATTCTTGGCGTCTAGCAAATATTCTAGACATTTCAACAGCTTCCGGTGATGTTCAGAACATTCCGATGATACTCCAGTGAATTTTTGATGATATTCTGGCGACTTCCAAGTGATGTTGAATATTCGGGCGAGTCTCTAATAATCGTCAGATGGAAGTTCGATGGTAGTGGCATGTAGAAGCATCTTTAAATTATTATTTTTTTTGTAAAAAGATTTTTTTGTAACAATTAAAAATATATAGGACCAATTGGTACACGTATTTTGTTTTTAAATTATATAAATTTTGAATTTTGTGTATGAGACTTATCAATAAGTTCCCTAGTCTAATACTTGTAATTCGGTTCCAAGCACAATATAGGTTTAGTAAAATATTTGTGAATATATTTTTAAAAAATTCAACAAACGCAACATAGTATGAAAACGTACCAAAGTTTTGTATTTTTTTGGTATTTTTTTAGTATTTAATAAATTTTGTAAAGATTTGTTTTTAAAATTTTATATTTTTTTAAGTATATTTAAATTTAGTAGATCTAAAACTCAAAGAATAAGCTGTTTTCTGACTTCCACAAAGCTATAAGCTATAAGCTATAAGCTAAACCAAACACATCAAAATAGCTTAAATTAAGCTGAAAGCTGAAATAAGCTGAAATTAAGCTGTACCAAACAGGGCCATAGTATGAAAACGTACCAAAGTTTTGTATTTTTTTAGTATTTAATAAATTTTGTAAAGATTTGTTTTTAAAATTTTATATTTTTTTAAGTATATTTAAATTTAGTAGATCTAAAAAGTAAAAAATATTGATTAAAATATTCAAAAAATTATTAAAAAAACTATGAATTAAAACGCAAAAAATATTTTTAAAGACTATAAAACCAAAACACAGCAGTAGTAAATGTTGTGTCTCAATTTGAGGTTTATTATAGACTAATTTTTATGGTCCGAACCGTTCATTTTGTAAAGTTTGTTGAGTATTTCATGTCTATCAAAAATTATATTAATCGGATATCAATAACTATATGAGTGAATTACATTTATCCTAAAAAAAATAAACAATAAATTTTTCTTTTGAGAAATATCATAAAAAATAAATAATCCAATCACATAGTTATTGATATCCGATAAATATAATATTTGGTAGACATGAAGTACTCAACGAACCTGACAAAATGAACAGTTCGAATCATAAAAATAAACTCATAATAAATCTCAAATTAAAACACAACAGTTGCTATTATGCCTTTAACACAACAGTAACCCCATATCCGCATAGCAGTGGGTCTGGTCCTCTACAGTGGCTCTGCCACTGTGATCCCACTAGTTTGAATTTTGAAAGTAACAATTTTTTTATTTTATTTTATTTTTTTTGGTTTTAGTTGATTTTAAGAATTATTTTTAGATATGTTTTCGTTTTTTAAAAAAATAATAAAAAAAAATGAAAAATATTCACTAAACAAATGAAAACTCAAATAAAAATACATATAAATTTTTTATTAAAAAAATTAAATATAAAAAAATTATTGAAGACAAATAAAAACCTGGTTAAAATTAAATTTAAAAAAACCAAACATTTATTCGTTTGGGAAGGGTTCATTTGGGCTCTTTTGGCTCTTTGAGCCACAAAAGACAGAATAGGCTATTTGAACCACAACAGACAAAACATCGCATCCAACCCATAATCATTACACTCTTCTCTCACAAAAAAAAAGTCAAAAAAGTCAAAAAATACTTCCCAAATTAAACTTTTGAGTCTAAATTTAAATAGTCAAAAAAGTCAAAAAATCTACTCACTTTCTAAACGGAGGCATAATAAAAGTAGATTCCAAACAAAAATGGGCAAACACCTAAAAGTTCCAGCGCCTTTATCACCACGCACCCTCCTTATATGAAGCGCACTACAAACGGAGAAAATGGTTTCTATATTCTATTTGAAAAACACTTTTTTAAGTTCTATTTACAGGAGTCCGATTTTGTGAAAACACTTTTTTAAATGATCGGCCACTGTTTTCAACCTTTTTTTTTTTCTAAAAATTTTGTTTTCTGAATTTGATAAAACTAAAATCCAATTTGTATGGAAAAAATCAAAATACTTATCATTTTCCTATGATTTTGTCTTTGTTAGAAACTAAAATAATTTTTAAAAATTTATAAACATATTTTTAATGTCTATTCTTTCCAAATTATATTTTTGTTTTTTAAAAAAAATAAAAATATATTTTAAAAACTAAACCAAAAAGAATTCGCAAAATATGTGAACAAAACCATTTTATATTTCTACTGCATGCTCCATTGTCAGCTTTTATATATGTATAGTATCTACCATGTGACACACGATAAAAAAAGCTTTTCTACTTCGAAAGTCTAGAAGTTAATAGCCTCTGCATTTATTTTAGGAGAGTGTTCACGCTATTTCTTTCTCCAACAATGCTTTGCAAATCAAATTTTTATGATTTAAATGGCTCAAATATTTTAAAATGGCGTTATTTTGGGAGGAAAATGATATCATTTTGATACATTCGAATCATTCAAACCATATAAATTTGAGTTACGAAACATTTTTCTTCTTTATCATTGTACCCTAAACTTTATTATTTAAGCCTATTTTGAAAATAAGGATATAAGTTGTTTTTTGACTTTTTTCTAAAAAATCAAAAGAAAGTTTTTTTAGTAAAAAATCGTTTGCCAACTTCCAAAATTACTAAAATATCTTTCTGTAATGTGACACCAAAAAATCCTCATGTGATATGGGAAAATTGTAATTTTACAAAATTGCACGGGGTAATATGATCAATTTACCCATTTGTCTAGTCATAAACAAATAATATCAAAAACACAGTTTTTTTCATATTGCCAAATGATTTTATGAATAATGCAAAAAATTTGGATATAAGCTAAAAAACAACTTATATCCAAGTTCTCAAAATAGTTCATTTATTAAGAATGATGTTATGAGTGGATTTCAGTACCAAAAAAAGGGTCGTGCTATTAAATAACCTAAAAAAAAAAAAAATTTATTGGTATCAATTTGGAATTAGGGGTAGATTTTATTATAAAAGTTCGTGTGTATATTATTACTGGCGTATATAAATAACAAAATTTTGTTGTTTTTATGTAAATCAAAATTCCTATTTTGCTCACAGAAGAATGTATGTACAAATTTGGACGGAGAGAGAGAGAGAGAGAGAGAGTAGGTGAGACGTTGTTTTCGCAATGCACATCGTTGTCAAGCCTTGTTAAAGGGGGTAGAAGTTAGAAAAAGTGTTTCATATGCAATACTGTAAAGAACGGTCACCTGTTAATGTCATCTTTATAAAAAGATAAAATAATAATACTAAAAATTCAAATTAATATCTACAAAAATATTTAAAAAATACATCTATAAATTATAACAATTCTATATAACTCACATTTCATTAACTTTTAATCTAAATTACCTATCTTATTTTCAAAATAAAGGGTCGTGCTAGGGAGCTCGAATCTGAGCTCCCCCGAATGCCCCGAATTCCATTTTTTTCCATTTTTTTTTTTTTTTTTATCAAATTCGCGTAAAAATTTATTATCATATGATGTCCTTTAATGATTTTTTTTTATCAATTTTGTTGGTCGTTTGATAAAGTAAATTTTCACCCAAAATTAGTTTTCCAAGATGTTGTCTACCTGCTCGTTCATTAATGGTCACTTATGAAATTTGATAAAAAATTAAACATTCCATTAATATGATGAAAAATGTCACTTTTTTTATTTGATGTCACTATAATAACACGGTTGAAGTTTATATTTAAATTTTTTTAAAAAAAAAAAAAAAAAAAAGCCTAATACCCAAAACGACGTCGTTTTGAGCATTAAGGGAATTAAGAGAGCTCATTTTCGAGCTCTCAAACATTATTCCAAAATAAAATTCCAAACATATGGCATATAACATTTTCTAAATTGAACCACCCACTTACTTTCCAATGTACCTTAATAAAAAAATAAAAAATAAAAACCTGATCTCACCGACCCCTCAAATTTTTAGTTGATGTATCGGGAAATGTGTAACAGAAATTGAAGTTTGCAGCTATATCACTTTTATATAATAATAATAATTAATAGAGAAAAAAATTCAATTGCAATGATTTTAGTGTGACAAAAATACACCAAAACACTTTGCTTACTTTAGCTTTAATTTAAGTAAAAAGTTGCCTAATTTTCAATCTCCCAAGATAAACCTGGTGGGCCTGGTTCTGGGCCAGACATTACAGCTTTTGACTGAAGTTAGCAAATATAATTAATTATATTCAGCTTGCAATACAAGTTCAATTCTATCCAATTAAGCTCGCGAACATATCTTAATTTATGGGTCTTAATTTAATAATAGAAAGTCTTTTATTATTTTTTAAAATATATGCAAATTACATTAAAATTTTAAACCTCTTAATATTTTATTTTATACTTTGTAAACTGTCATTAGCATCACATTATTTATTTTATTTACTAACTAATATTATTATTATTTACTGAGTTAGACTTCATCATCACAGTTTGTTTGGATCAAACTCTTTTATGAGTGATTTTTCAATTAATATTCCATTTTTATTTTTTAAGAGATTTTAGTCAAGGTTTTCGGCATCTTCTAGTTAAAAATCAGGTTAAGAGGTCAAATTCAAAAGGCCTGAACCAAACAATAGTTAAAGCAAATATTAGGAAAATTTGTTAGGACCACATTAACTTCTGTTTGGGAAGAATTATACTGGTTTGAGTTAAGTGCACACTCACTTTTATGCCTCTCTAGTAAAAGGAGGAATTTTTTTTTTTTCCTGCTTATACTGCGTTTAGTTAGAGAATTTGATAATGAATTTGAAAAGAGAAAGAAAAAAGATGTGTAAAACTAAGTAAAATGTAATTCACCTAACTTTTTCCTTTTCCTTTCAAAATCACTCTTCAAATCTCCCAACCAAACACGACGTTAATGCCGTGTTTAGTTGGGGGATTTGAGAATAAATTTAGAAGGAGATTTGAGAATAAATTTAAAAAGAGAAATGAAAAAAAGTAAATAAAATATAAATAAAATAATATATCTACATTCACTTAATTTCACACATATTTTCTCTTTTTCTTTTCTAATTCCTCCCCAAATCTCCCCATTAAATACAACATAAAAGAAATCAACAATATTGATGATGCTAAAATCCATCTCATTCGATCGTGACTTTATGACCTCCCATAGAAAGAGAAAGGGTGAGCCTTGGTGGCCACCGGTGTCGTGTCAACCGAGCCACTCCAATGGATAAGTCAATTTCTTGAAAATAAAATAATTTAGTGAGATGAAAAGAAATTTAAAATTTATTTGCTTACCTTGTGTATCTCTCATCTAGACTTTTTATAAAAACCCTAATATGAATCGGTTAACTGTGTCAAGCTCTATGTTGTGTCTCGCGCATAGCATATATGACTGAGCCAAATTCAAAGGCCTTTTAATTGTATTAATTTATATCTATCGAATATTACATTGAAAAATATTATTTTTTCAGAAATCTTTAATGATTTTTTCTATTTAAAATACTAATTACTTTGTTTAGTTTTGATTTTTCAGAAAATAGTTTTCAAAAAAATTTATTTTTTATTTTCTGTATTTTAATATTTTCAATAATTTTTTTAATATTTCAAGCAATTTTTTTTTAAAAAAAAAAACTTTAAACACACCTAACATAAGTACACTTAAAAAGTATAATATTTATGAAAAAATCTTTAAAAAATACACTAAATACCAAAAAATATTAAAAAAATACAAAAATTCAATACATTTTTCGTATTTTTATGTATTTATTAATTTTTTAAAATATTTTTTCACAAATATTTTATTATTTAGATTTATTTAAGTAAGGTGCATCTAAAAAAGTAAAAAAAAAATTACTTAAAATTTAAAAAATATTCACTAAAAAAAATATGCGAAAAATAAAAAATTCAATTTTCAAAAAATAGAATTCAAAAAACTGAAACCAAACACATTTAAGCTTCGTTTGGCATTTGATTTTTGGCAAAAAAGTACAATAACACAAAATTGACTTCATAAACTAATAAGACAAAATATCATATCCAAACTATAATTATTACACTTCTTCTCACACAAAAGTCAAAAAATTAAAAAAATAAATCAAATGAGACTAAAAAAATCTCAATACAAAAAAACAATGCCAAACAAAGACTTAATAAAATTCAATAAATTTTTGTGACTTGCATGAAAAAGATACAACGGTAAAGAGTTTGCTTCAAGGTAGGCCCACCAAAGCATTAATAGACCTCTAACCAAGCCCCGGAATTAAACACTTCGCAGCACCGAATTTGCAAACACACAGAAATAAATACCGATAATAAATTTCCACAGAATCATGATCCTCAAAGAAAACCCCAGAAGTTTACCACTGATGATGACGCATAGGTACAGATCAGCTGATGAGATCCAACAATTTCCATAGTTTTTAATTCCTCTGCATACTCTGTTTTTTCATCACCAGATTCTCTTCTCCTACCCAATAGAAGACAATTTCCCAAAAAACAAAGCAAGCAAACAGAGAGGATTATGAAAAGGAAGATAAAGTTGGAAAAGATAAGTAAAGTTGAAGAAGGAATTAAAGCAAAGCTCTGATGCAGAGAATAGAGAATTTACCTTTTACTCTCTTTCTTCCAAGAACCTGCAACGGGAAGCCTTGCCTTGTGTTGTTGTGCCTCTCTGCTTCTTTTTGTTCCTTTCAAATCAATTCAGCAAAAGAATAAAGATTACAACATATACACACGAATACAAACTTAACAGGCTATGAAATATGAATATAACATAAAACAATCACACAGAAAGAGAGAGATACAATGATCAAGAACAAAGATTATTACATTTATAAGGTATTTGCCACTGGTTTATTTAACATATTAGTAGATAGCACCCTTACAGAAAAAAGAGAAGGGATGATTAGCAATCAAAAGGTTATAGTTATACCATATACTACTACCATATACTGAGTATTATCATTCTATGGCACCCAAAAAAACCAAAAACAAAGAAGAAAAAACCAAAATTTTATTTCTTGTCTTCGAAGACAGAAGCTAAACCAGTCACGATCTTCACACCACCATGTGAATTCTTGAATTTGATCTCCGGTGGTTCCCATTTCTTCACCATCGCGTTCTCTTCTTCACCCGAACTGTTGTCAGACAGCGTAAACACGGCATCATCATGATCAGTCTCAACAGGAGAGACTGTGTCCCCAAAGATCAGTTCGAATTCGCCGGAAGAGCTCTTCGTGGGAATCAAAGGTTTTTTCTCCTCCGATTTAAGATCGGATTCGTGGGTTATGTTGAGCTCTGAACTGAGACAAGTCTGTGCGAGTGTTGGTGTGGTTCGAGTGTAGGGAGAGAGCCATTTGGCTTTGACATACTCTGCTTTTCTCCAAGGTGGGAAAGGCATTCCTTTCTTCTTCAGACTCTGCTTCGCCGCCTCTGATACAACGCAAATAATCCTCTGGAGACGATCAGCTTTTCCCACGAATATACACGGTAGAGTTTGAAGGATCGCTTTGTAGGACTTGGTGGGCCGAGCAATTTCGAACTCTGATCTGAAATCAATGTCAATTATCAACCGCTCGCCTTCTACAATCGCATCCACGTATTCATATTCTCCTGTATCAGACACGTGCACATGTATCAGTATATATATATATATATATATATATAATAGATATTACATACACATGTGATGCGAGAAACTATCAGACAGAGGGGTTACCGGCGGGATAGGATGGCGATTTTTCCCATCTTGATTTGCAGATTGAAGCGTCGTAACTGAGAGCTAACAACCCATCTGTGACGAGCTTTCTGCAATAATCGTCTTTTCGCCTGGAGATTTTGTTTTTCTCGACGATTTTCGAAGTATCCGCCAACAGGTTTCTTTCAGAAACACTTGCACAAGGGACCAAACTCTGCTCAGAAAAAAAACGAAGAGTTTCAGAAAATTGAAAAGGCTGAATTCGCAAACAACGAAGAACTAAACTAAAAATACAAAGTTCATTATACCTTGAGAACTTCACATGCATCGCCAGAGGATGCGACGTTTGAGTCACCGAAACCATTGAAAGAGTCCAATTCATCCTCCGAACTCTCATTACAGTTTCCATTCCGGCCACATCTCACCGTCGCCGATTGTCTGTCGTTGTCTTCGATGAAATTCTGAACCATCTTCGCCAAGCAAACAGAGCTCGGCTCGAACTCACCGGAACCATCCTTGTTGCAATGTGATTCCTCGACGCCACCGATCTTCTCCGCCGCTGAACTCCTCAATACGATAGGGAATTGCCGCTGAAAGAGCCGCTTGAACCGTGATTTCGCTACAGGTTTTACTAACTCGTTGGGAATTGACTCTTCCGGAGAGTTAAAATCGATAGGTTGAATCTTCATGGTGAAAGGCATGACAAGTACTTACGGAGGCTCATATCAATTTTCAAGCTCCATTTCCAGTCCTCAGAGCTAGTTAGTTAACAATTGCTACCGAATTCTAATTTACAAGTCTCTACGCATTCTCTACCTGGATTTTTCGACTTCAATTTCCAAAAATTGACTAATTAAAACACTAATTAGCGAGTGGAACAAAAAAAAAACAAAAAAAAAAGAAAAGAAAAAGCCCTCGAGAAAAGTTATCAACTTCCAACACACCGATCAAAAACAGTGATTGCAAATGAAGCCATGAGTCAACACATCGACCACGGATGCGTCCGTAATCGTCATCAGATCACCAAACCGAATCGACACAGAAACCAACAATATCACCAAAATTCAATGTATCTACCAAAATTCGAGAGGTTTAAGCTAAAACTGATACCTTTATCTCGCGGATTATCATTATTATAATCAGACTTTGCTTCGGACTTGCGAGACAAAGCATGGAATAGCTTCAAAACTCTGCTACCTAAAATGTTCGCTTTTGGTTAGGGTTTCGCAGATACGCCTAGAACTCGCGAACTGCGCGAAGGCAAGTAAGCATGACATCATCATTCCGGCAATTCGGAAAAAGATCGATTGCCGGATCCTCCATTTTCCGGCGACGAATTCGAATCTCCGGTGACTGAATTCTGAATAACTTCTAGAGAGAGAGAGAGAGAGAGAGCCCTTCTTAGAAATTTTATGACTTCTATTTTCTTCTTCTGTCTCCTTCCTAATTTTCCCCCGTATAATGGTTGTGGTGAACATTTTATTCATTGAGCTGGGCTGCCCCACTCCATGGACAAATTCAAAAATAGATTGAGTGCTATTATTAGCCCAAGTATCTGGTATTTCAGCCCCTTGGGCTGACCTAACCTAACTTGTTTCAATATGGGCCGTATTTAAATCCACCTCCAGGTTAATTCCTTGTTGCTTCCCTACAGACCCACTCGTGCTTCTGATAAACTCAGATGTGACCTTCTCATCATCAACTCTACAGCTACCCTCCTAGCATACACCACCCTTCTCTGATGCCCCTTTACAGAGCCTCCTTACAGAGCCCACTTCACGTGCGATGCCTACCTCTGGAGTCAAGAGCCTCTCCTTGTAGGCCCCTACTTGCGCCCGTCCTTGCAGGGCCTTCGGGCCTATTTTTAGGCCCAATTTTGATAATTCGAACCGTTCATATTTTATAATTTATTCAGCATATCATACCTGTAAAAAATCAAGTTGATCGGATATCAAAAAGTATGTGTTTGAAAACTTGAACTAAAAACTATTTTTTAAAATAATTTAATAAACAGTTTTCCGAATGTTTTTTGATATCCGATCAACTTGATTTTTTACAGGTATGATATACTGAATAAATTATAAAATATGAACGGTTCGAATTATCAAAATTGGGCCTAAAAATAGGCCCGAAGGCCTTGCAAGGACGGGCGCAAGTAAGAACCTGCAAGGAGAGGCTCTTGACTCGTCCAATTGTGGATTGGAGAGACTGTTGTGTTCCACGCTGTCACCCGACGTGGCAATTAATTCATATCTGTTTTGTGCTACGTGGCAAATATTACCGACGTTGTGTTCATAATCTATGCCACGCGTCGCTCTCTGGTGATATTGGCTCAAAGAGGACTAAAGACAATACCGAAACTGTCCTTGCCGTTTTCTGAAAAGGACGTAACGCTAGTCTCGTGATAAGGTAGACTTTTAAATAACCGCCTCACGTTCATGGCATGGTCTGGTACGAAAATTCAACTGTTTTCATTTTCTTGACGTAATTGCCCTTCTGTAAAATTCGAAATTAGTTCTAACAACGTTATTGCTTCAAATTAAATTGAAGATATTTTCGTAATTGTCGATTCTAAGAACGGTTGGTGCGGTTTAAAAGTATGGTGGAGCTGGTACCAGAAATTTTTCTTTAAGAAATTTTTAATTGTTAGGATAAATATTAAGGTTTCGTTTGACTATTTCACTTACTATTTAAAAAATATTAAAAAATTTAAAATAAATTAATAAGATAAAATATTATATTTAAATCACAATTTTTTTTTTACAAAAATTTAAAAAATAAAAAAAAAAAGTTACCAAATGAATTTTTTTGTCCAAAACTAAAAAAAGTCCTAATTCTAAAAAGACAATTAGAAAAATTGTTGTTTAGCTTACCTTCATTGTGGTTGAAAAATTTACCAAATGAATTTTTTCTTTTGTTTGTTTTTTTGTTTTTCTTTCCTTTGGTTTGTGGTGTTTCTGGGTCTGTTTGGTTCTTAGAGTCCATCTGTGCGTCTTTGTTTAGCTTACCCTCATTGTGCTTGGGATCTATGATTTATTTCGGACATACTTTATTGTCGAACTTTTATGATCGACTCTGCATCGCAGTACGAGCACGTGTACGTTATGTACGTCTGAATATTTTCATAGTTTTCTTCCTTGGTGCTTCTTGCATTATTTTCTCTTTGCTTGGTTGGACTCTTGTAAATGCCGTTTTGGCTTTATTAATTGAAATATCTCTTCCAGCAAAAAAAAAAAAAAAAAAACAGCAACTAAGGAAATACTATGCTGCATACTCATCAACTAGTGTGCATTATATGTATCTTATAATTAAAAAATAAAATTACATAATTTCATATTTTTTAAGTCAAAACTTAAAAAATATATATAATGAAACACCATATGAGATATTACCAAACATATCAAAATAATGTCATAATTAAAAAAAAAAAATTGATCGTAACTAAAAAAACAAATGTCATAACTAAAACTGCATATGATAAGAAGTATGTATTATAAAATTTTCCTAAATACTAATAGAGTTAGAAATAAAGACCAATTTAACACCTTTTAGTATTTTTTTTAATAAATTTAACACAATTAAAATGTCATCAATCAAAAAATAAAATATGTAATTAACCCATTTGTTTATAAGTAAATTTCATACAAAAATATGATAATATTAATACTACTATTTTTCTGAATAAATTACACTCATCTTCCTGAAGTCTAAAAAAAATATATAGTTAATTTACACTTTTGATATAAGAGTAAATTACACTCATCTTCTCAGAGATTTCTAACAATTACAAGAACCTTCTTTATAGTTTTAATAATTATAAAAATCACCCTTACTTTTAAAACTATTATTAAGATTCTCCTACTGTTAATCTTCTATTAATTTATTTAACAAAATATGATGATGTCATGCTGGCGTCATATAATACAAGTAAAAAATTATAAGATTGTCTTTATATATTCAAATAAATTTCACTCATCTCTCCTGAGATTTTACAAAAAAAAATTAATAAATACGCATACATTATTTTAATAATATTAAACAAAATTATTAAATTCTATACAATATTTTAAAAAATTCTAAATTGTTAAGACAAGATATATAGTAGAATAACAAAGCATTACATTATCTATATAAAAAAAATAAAAATAATAAAAAAAAAGAGCCAATAAATTGATCACCATTAAACCTTATACTAGATTAAATACAACTATGTATTTGAAAATTACAAAACAAAGTACAAAAGATGTTTTATCTTTCAAAAAGACCACCAATTTTATAAGTAATGACTTTGAGAAATTAGAATTTGAATAAAAATTTAAAAATACATATAGGTATTTGATTTTTTTTTCCTCGTATGAAAAATACATATTTGGAGAAATTATCCGTCTCCTTTCATTTACTTTTTTTTTATTTCTTTCATTTTTCTTTCTATTTATTTTCTCATTCATTTTTCATAGTGTCACTACAACAAATAGCAACACCATATAATTTATTATTATTATTATTTGTTCTCTTCTCTATGTTTTTTCCCCCAATTTTTTTTCATCTTTCTTTTTTTCTCTTTCATCAATGTTAGCTAGTAACACCCAATACCATAGCAACTTACGAATCATGAATTTTTCTTTTGTTTTGTAAATGTATTTGTGTATTAATTTTTTTTAAGAAAAATAAAAATAATAACATTTCATTTTAATAATAAAAAAATTGACTTATAAATATTATCAAATGTTACCTCATATCATTTTTATCTTTTCAAAATCCTATATTATTCTCAAATTTTAATTTCCATATTTTAATTTTTCAAATTCCAGATGATGGATATTAAAAAAAATGAGTCAATATTTCTCTTCTTAATAAATAAAATTTTAAAAATAAATATAAAAGTAAAAAAATATCTAATTTTGTTACAATAAATTAAAATTAGATGATAAGGAATGAAAGATAAAGAAATTATTTGAGAATAATAAACTATTTAAATTTGTCATTTTTTACATATAATTAAAATAGAATTTTACTTGAAGAAGTAAATTATTTGAAAATAATAAAATACTCAAATAATTTATTATTTCTTACATCTAAAATCTAAATCTCCATCTTTGTTTCTTTATCTTCATCTTTGTTGCTTTCATTTAAATTATTTTTATTAAATTAAATCTCAAAATTAATTCAAATAACAAACATGAATATTCTTTCTTAATTTCATTAATGGTTGATTTTTTTTTTTTAAATTTTTAAACTTATCAAAGTTCAAAACGTATAGTGGAAAAAAAAATACAAAGTCAAGGAAATACAAAAAAAAGTTATGAGAAATAAAATGATAATTTAATATATAGGTAAATTATAATTAAAGGGTCTTAAGTGTAAAGGGTATTATGGTCATTTGCACAACCAAGTTAACACCGTTTGACTTAAATTAACGGAAGGAGAAATATTGACAATGTCAGAAAAAGTAATGAGGTTTCTCTAATTATTGAAATTACAGGAGAGGTTCCTATAATTGTTAGAAACTTTAGGGAAGGTGAGTGTAATTTTACCTTTAATATAATTATATTGATCTTCTTTAAAATTTTAATTTGCATAATAATTGTGCGGGGAGCAAATATTCAGGCAAGCCCGCACTCCTTTCTTCCAAGCTCCGTTTCTATCCGATCACCTGCGTACACAACCAACAGTGAGCTACCCGACGGTGTGTGGCCAGAAAACCCTTCCGATGATCAAGTTAGCACACACCTGAGGATAGAGAGAGTGAGGAGAGAGTCGAGTGTAAGTATTTCTCTTACCAAATGTTCGTGTCTCCAACATGGGAGGCGCAGACTTGCTTATATACCTTCTGGGCTCCAAATCTACTCCCAGTGATCTCTCGACACGTAGTTCTGCTACCCTATCTGTCAGCACAAATCTTGCTGAACATTACCTAACCCGATTGCCAGCCCACTCTTCTGGGAGCTCGGCAGCCGGGCTTCAACATCTCGGCTGTCAACGGCCATGCTGCGATTCATGCCCAGGTGCCTCCCCACAACCGAGCTCCTTTCAAGCCATGCTCTACTGCGTTCCGGCGAAGCCAAGCTTGAGATTAGTCATACCAGTCAACCAAAGTCCTTCCTGCCGAGCTTCAGGCATGAGCCTTTACGCCGAGCTATGGATGCCTACTTTTCAACCGCGCAACGCATAAACCGTGGAACCCTCAATTGATCGGCCTGCGTGTCGACAAGGCGAAGTAGCTCGGTTCCATATGCCCTTGTCATTGCCGAGCAAAAATCACTTCTGGGTGGACCTGGGATACCACGGCCCAAATGTGTTCGACCCACAATTTGCCTGGTATTACCATGGCCCAATCCAGACCATATTTTTCCCTCTCAATTGCCCCTTAATTCCGTCCGTGCCAGCGTGATCGGGA